GGCAGAGCCTCCGCACGCTGCGAGGTAGGAAATATTAAACTCCTCTTTGAATTAAACAAATAAGGCTCAACCACTTGGTTCATTATCAGATCCAATGGTTGGAGTCTGCGGGGAAAGCCAAACAGCAGAACCCGGGGTATAAATCAAAGGCACGATCAGACAGACAGGTGAGGCCGAGGGTGCGGTTTCACCTTTCAGCTCAGCCTCCCGGCCGCTGCCAGAGGGATGGTCTCCCTTCCCCGCCCCAGCTCCCTCCCGCTGCCAGGCGGAGGGAACACCCCAGCCGAGCTGGCCTCGCTCGCTCCGGGCTTTGGGGGGCGATTTTATCCTTTTTCCTTGCCGTTTCCACGAGCTGAACCGGTTCAGGTGGGCATTTCCAGAGGCAGGAGATGGAGGGCACCCGGCCCTCGGCTCGGCGGCAGAGCGAGCAGGTTTAGAAGACAGCAAAGCCAATTGAAAAGCCGCTGCTGCCAAAAGGGGCCATCTCCCCCTCACCCCCAGCCCCCCGGGGCCTCCCCAGTCATCCGAGTGGAAGATTTAACAACTCTAACTGCGGGGCAAGATCCAGGAAAGTTTGGGGCTTGGGTATTTTTTCTTTTTTTTCCTTTTTTTTTTTTTTGAAGGGTTAGCTGGAGTCACTCCCCTGCGGCTGCTCCACTGCTGGATTCCCACAGCAGGGGAAGAGGCAGGAATGTACCTGCCACCTCCTGCAGCAGCGAGTCCTCAGATGGAGCTGTAACGTGAAACTGCGCCCAAGGAACCGGGGAGGGGGGAAAAAAGGGGGGAAAAAAAAAAAGAAAAAAGCAGAATCCCACCTGGCTAGAAGAGCTTCAAGACATCTCATAGGTATGGGAAATGGGAAAACAACCCACCTTACATGATTGTTTTCCCTCCTGTTGAAAGACAGCAGATATTTCACGCACAGAAAGAGCGAGCAGGGGCTTAATGGGAAAGGCAGGTGGTCTCGATGCACAAGGCTCAATCCCTCACAGGGCTGAACAAGCATTTCCCCTGAAGTGATCACTGTCACTGGAGAATCATCATCCCCACCGGAAAGGGAAAAGTGAGCTGGGGAAAGCGAGTGGAAAACTCTGACACACTCAGCCCTGGAAGTTTTACTGAGCCATCTACCAAGGAAAATACTGGAAGAACACTCAACTGAAAAAAAGTTTATATATATATATATATATATACACACATACACACACACAGAGAAACTATCTTGTCTAGAAATTCTTGGGCCAGGGTAGCTGGAGACCTCTTGCCAGCCAAAGTAACACAGAAAAGAGGTTTTTGCTTATTTTACCAAGGACAAACACCATCCCAGAGCAAGCGCTGTAGGAGAAAGGGACACACAATAGCAGGGTTTGCTCAGGGAGGCCTCCAGGAGAGCAGAAAGCAAGCAGAAAAAGAAAAATGCCTGAAGAACAGACTGAGTACCAGCTCACCTGTTAACAAAATAGCTCAGAATAGCAAAAATAGCGGACAGACAACCCAGTTTGTTGCCCATGTACCAGTTTAAGAGTCAGAATTGCAGGGGAAAGCTGCAAATTCCCATTTAAAGAGGAAATTTGACCGATTCCACTTGATACAAGGTTTTTTGCTCACCCCAGCTGCAGACAGGAACTGGCTCTGAAGCTCCCCAGCCCATTGAAACACCAAAAACCAGAGAACTGACAGCAAACCACTGCAGTGAGGAAGGGGCAGGGCTCGGCTCAAGGGAGCCCCTCGCTAGTTAAGAGATCATAAGCAAAGTAGGAGACAAAAACCTGACTCTACACACGCACAGGTCAAGTTTACAGTATATCAAGTAACTTGCATTTATAAACAAATAAAATGTTGCCAAACGAAACTCGTTCAGTCGATTTCCGAGATGCCGATTGGAAGCGGCTCCATAGGAAACATCACCCGAGATAACCCGATCCCAGCAGCTTTGGGGGTGAAGACTCGCTCAAGTCTCAGGGCTTCTGGGACTAAATCAAAGGTTTCAAAGCCTCATGGAACCAGGTTCAGCAGCAGGTTCACCACCATTTCCACGTTGTTTTGCTTAAGACTGTGTGCCAAGACCAGAGCACGGCAATGAAACCCCTCAAGAGTCACAACTGTGGGCACAGGAATGAGCAAGATGCACAGCAGGAGGTTTTCCAGCACAGGCTAAGAGGCCTGGCAAAATGAGAAGAGGTAAAGGAACTCTTGGAGAAGGAGTGAAAAGCAGGTTTAGTGGGAGATACAGGAAACCCATGTGAGGTTCAATGCCTTTTCTCATACAGAATCAGAAATAGCTCACACGACCTGCATAAACCTTTTCCACAAAGCCTGTTGTGCAGCAAAGAGAGACACGTGAATGTACAAACACTCAGAGATCAGCTCAGAACCCGCAGCCCCTCACACCCAGCCCTGCAAACAACCCAAAATCACAGCAGTTGGTCCTTCACACACCCAGTCACACCAACAACCACGTGGGAGAAGGCGCTGCTGACCGTACCATCGCATCAGAAAGCAGCTTCATTCCCAAAATTATTTAATCATCACACGCTTCGCAGTTAGCTTTTCGGCACCGAAGCCTTGCTGGTCTTACACTTCAGAGCAGTGTGCCTTACCTCCAGCAGCCACCAATTAATGTCACAGTGGTGGCACGCCCGAGGCCTCGTCAGGCAGAGCAGGTCTGCTGGGGGACAGCAGAGGGGGATTTATGAGATGCCGGACCCCGGAGCGGCTGTGTGCTCACACGGGCCAATCCACTGCCTTGCTCCCCCATTCCCACATCTGCAGAAGCAGTCTTTAAACAAGCCAGGGTATTTTTAAGCTCTGACAGTTAAAATCCTCAAGTGACATCACCTGAAGTCAGAGCACAGCTGCCTTATTCCTCTGACACACCAGCGAGCCAAAGTAAGCAGGAGCCTTGGTTTATGGGCTTACAGCACACCTTGAGATAATGAAAGCGCTGGAGGGACTCACCCCAGCACAGTCAGGCCTCTCCTTGCACGGTTTTTCACCCCCCTCCTCAGTTTTGGGGTAAAACCCACAAAGTTTAGCACCAGTGCAGCCCAGCAAGCCACCAGAGGGAGCACACAGAGGGGCCCCGGACCAAACTCCACCACCAGCATCCCAAGGGGCTGGTGGGCAAAGAACGCAGAGCTGGTGTCCCACCACAGAAAAAGGATGAAAGATCACCAAGACTGCACGAAGGATGGCAAAAACCAACCCTGCAAGCTGCTTCCCATGGTGTATCTGAGCTTGCCCTCCCACACTTCACCTTGCACACACAGGCATGGCTGTTTAGGGGCACTTGGGGCAGTTTAAGGGTGTAAATCACATTAATCCAAGCGACAAAGCCACCACACTCATCCTCGGGTGAGTTACTAATCCCTCTACACCAGAGCCCATCTCACTTCCTACCCCTTGAGGAGAAAAAAACAAAAATCCCTTTTAACACAATAGGTAACCCAGTGGATCCCACCTTGGTACTTTTATCTGTAAGTCCACTTTAAATAGCTTTGGGCAAGTCATGGGTTTCTCCATAAACTTGCGGGTTTTCTGGGATGCAGAACCAAGCCAGGCAGAAGCCTCCCTCTCCTTTTGGGGGGGAGGGGTGGCAACTACAGGACAAAAATGTTTATTTCTTTCTAATCACTTTGTTACCAAGCCCTCCCCACGAGACAGGCTTGCAACTGCTTCGAAAGAGCAGGGTTTGGTTTCGACGCGTTCGACTCACACGCGGCGCTCCCCGCCCGTTTCGATTCGGGGGAACAAAAGCACGCCGGGTGTAATTAGGGCAAATAATATCGAGTGTAACAGAAAAGCATCAAGAAACCGTGCCGGGAAACTCGCCGCGAGTTTTTGTAACCCAGAAGGAGCGGGCTGCCGCCCTCAGCAACCACCACCACAAGAGCACTTTTTCTCCTGCACATCCCATAAATCGCAACTGTCAAAACTCCCAGATGAGCAGCAAAGCCTTCGGGTTCCAGGCAGCAGCAACCCCAGGATTACCTGCTTTGTTCGAGGCAAATGCTGGGCCACGGAGGACAAAACCCCGGACAACCGAAGTTTCTGCGCTCCTGGGTAACCTTGGCTGGTGTTTGGGTTGGTAAACTGTATTTCTGGTGCATGTGTGAAAGACAGAACTCGCTGAGTAAACAGCCCCTCAAGAGCTGACAGCTTTACAGCCCCAGGCTCGGCACAGCTACTCCTGACCAGAGGCAGCAAAACAGCTGGGGAAAGCAGTAAAATAATAATTAAAAAGAAAAAGCTACATTGAGCCATCACTTCACCCCCTTCACCAATCCTTTACACAGTTGCGAGGTGGGGGCAAAATAAACATCGCCTATTTTCTGCCCAGCAGCGAAAAACACGTCTCTCTTGGTTTAAAAAACATCAGTATTGAAAGTACGGGATAGACGGCTGGAAAGTTCTTCCACTAGAAGTCAGGAACTGTATAATTTATATTTTTTTTTTTTTTGGCAAAGAGACAGACGAAGCACGGGAAAATCATTTAAAATCATTTAAAATTCAAGATTCGTGTGGCTCTAAGGACGGAGGCAGCTTAACGCAGTAACAGCAATAATTAGAGATAAGATGCCAGAATGCTTTACAGCCGCAGTCCTCGGGCATCGCACACCACCTCCCGCCTCAGGGACCGACTTTCCACCGCCCTAATTGCGGAGGAAAGTGACCTTTACAGGTTAAAAGCACCGAGGCTAACACTCTTAGGGCGGTCAAGAAGGCTGGATGTGCCCCTCTGCGGCACCTCCTTCAAGCGGAGAAACGAGCCCGTAAATCAGAGCGCGGCGGCGGCTCGGGGGGCTCGCCCCGCTGGGCACCGGGGAGCGCAGCCGGGCGGTGTGCGGGGGGTGACAGGGGCCAACACCTGCGGCCGCGCCGGGGGAGCCGCGGGAGCCCCGCGCGGATTCCCGGGAGCCCCGCGCGGATTCCCGGGAGCCCCCCCCGCCCCCCCCCATCACTCGCGCACCGGCGGCGGGAAGCGCGCGCGCGCTCGTTACCTCTGCGCCGCGCCCCCTCCCTGGTCCCGGTCCTGCTGCTGCCGGTGCCGGTCCCGCTCGCCGGCGGCGGCGGCTCGCCAGGACATTCCAGGCTGGGGCGGGCGTCCCGGCGGGCGGGAGCCTCCATCCAGCGCCGCCCGGCCGCCCGGCGCCGCTTATCTCCCCCCCCGCCCCGCCGCCCTCCCCGCCCCGCTCCCACCGGCGCCCCGTGTCGGGGGCGGAGCCGCCGCCGCGCCCCGCCCCGCGGAGCGAACCACCGCCGGGCGGGGGGGGGGGGGGGGGGGGCCCCCCCCCCCCCCC